CAGCGACAGCCGACAGCCAGGGAGCCATAGGGGTAGCAGCGAGCTCGGTTCAAGCACCTGGCCTGGATAGGCTGCGACGGACGCCTCAAGAGGACGAACACAGTCTCTCTGTGTTCTCGGATCCTAAACAAGTGAGCGTGGCTGCCGTCAAGCAGCCGCAACATCTGCCAGAGAGGCCTCCTCTGGGAAGACGAGTTGGGATGACAGCAGCACGAGGCCAACTGCTACAATGCCGCCGAAACGCAACAGCGGCCAGCCCCTCACAGAAATCTGTATGATGTTGTAAGCAAAGACCCTGCTAAACACTTCCATCGATCTTGTGAGGACCAAGGCCGCCATTGGGAGACCCCATCCCAGCTTGCCAGGAAGGCCGAGCACTGCCGAGTCCGCTTTGTCGCGGCTGGCAAAGCCCAGGCCAAGGGAAAAACAGGAAACGGCAACTGAAAGCTGTAAGCTTTGTAGCTCTCCATCCGACAAATCGAGCGATTCAATTTGTGAAACGCCACCCAGGGCAGACATCAGCAAGTTCGTCTGCACCAGCGCCGAGATTGCGGATTCGGCAACCTGTCGCTCCCAAGTGCATCAAGAACCTTGAGGGACCCTCAGCCGCAAACGTCCCAGAGCCTCGGCCGCCTTCGCCCCTGAGAGCAGAGAGTGCTTCCTTGGCTCGTGGCACTCTTTAGGCGCTCTTTAAGCGCTCTTTGCGATTGCTGGCAAAGGTTTGTGTGGAGCCGCATTCAGCCGAGCTGCTTCTGGGTATAGGCGGACACCAAGGCCATGACCAGCGTGAAGCACTGTGACAAGACTGCTACGAGCAGCAACGGCAGCACTAGCTTGGCTGTCAGTAGTCCTTGAAGGAAGTCGTGCTCTACTGATTTGCGGCGGCAGAACCGGACGACGTCAATGCACGTGAACAGCACGGGCAGCAGCAGGCCGAAGCAGTTCAGCGTCAGGTAGCCAAAAAGACCGCGGCGCTCGAAGAGCAGCAACTGCGAGATGTCCAGCCCAATATCCACGTAAAACAGTGCCTGGGCATTGAATTGCGACACATTGAACGAGTCACGGCAACATGCTGTGCCATTTACGACAT